AACCCCAAAACCCCAAAACCCCAAAACCCCTATCTTAAAAATTAAGATTGCATAGAATATTGTCAGTATTAATTTTTGAAAATATTGAATAACTACTTCTTTTTACCTTTAGCATTCTTCTTGTCTGATACGGGAGGCTCCTCTTCTTGTTCAACTTCTTCAACCGGCTCTGGCTGGTTCATTGCCATCTCGATCGTCAGCCATGATTTGAGTGATAAGATGATGTCATAGTCCTTCATGATCTTCTTCTGTTTGTGCCTTTCTCTTTGCTCTGCAGTGACTTCTTTGCTTGCATCTTTGCTGGTCTCATGTTTCTTGCTGCTGTGGACTCCATCAAGCTTTCCAGGAACTGGGAACTCTCCTTTATTGGCTTTGGAAATGTTCTGTTTGTAATTTTTCTCAATGAGAGTGTAGTCTTTAGCAAACGGAATGTCTTCAGGGTCATTGACTTCAACAGCAACAGCATTTTTGTCATCAGCTTTCTTGGCTGCTTTATCTTTCTTCGGATCTTTCTTCTGGGTTTCCTAAAGTTGACTCTAAGCTTACTTTCTCAGCTGCTTTTTCACGCTCTTCAGCTTCTTGCTGAGCCATTTTGTCTCGCTTCGATTTTACATATGAGTCGATGGCTTCGGTCTCGCTGGGTTTCAAGCTTACATTGTGGTTGAGCATGAAGAACTCAGGGATGGCTCTGTACTTGATTTTATAAAAGAAGTTCTTCATGCAAAACTTCTGTGACAGAGTGTCGGAGATGGTGGTCTTGGCAGGGCCCGATTGGAGGATCCACTTCTCAGTGTTGACTCTGGCGACTCCTCTGATTGCTGTTTTGAACCTGGGCTTGCTGTCGACTAAATCAGCTCTACGGATGGTTTCTCCATCATCATTTTCTGACTCAATGAGAACCGGGTATTCTTCATAGAGCTCGACCCAGAGCCCGCCAAGAATGCTTTCATACAGAGAGTGAGAGAAGTTGACTGTGATTGGTTCTACTTTGTTAGGCTTAGATTTTTGTTCCTGGTCTGCTTGTTTGGTATCTTCTTTATCATCATCATCACCATCGTTGTCATCTTGCTTAGGCGACTCTTTGACTGACTGTTTGTGAGTCTGTGGTGTCTGAGGTTGGTTTGCATCCTCGAGTAGTTTCATGATGAACCTCAGAGACACTTTGAAGTCGGTTTTGCCAACATCATCATCTTTTTGGAACTGAGTTTCCCAGAGTCTTACTTCGCTCTTGATGGGCTGCTCCAAAAACTCAGTCTGTATCCAGAACCGTGATGATCTATCCTGGGGCTCAAGAGCTTCGAACACAGCTGGGTCTTCAAAGTGTTCCTCAGCAAGCTTGACTCCAGTGATACCTCCGAGCACTGAAATGTTGAGATCGAATGAAATGTCATTGTTGAGTTCGAGTTCTGGTGTCCCCTGAGTTTGTTTCTCTGACTTGATGGTTCTGTTCTTCTTGCCTTCATCTTTAGCAATTGGAGTATCATCGAACAGTCTGAGGTTTCTGAGCTGGCTGAGACAATACGGCTTGTAGAACTCAACAAGCACAAATGGGTTGCCTTTGAGCACCAACACCTTGAGGTCTGAGAACTGGCTTCACACTTCCACTGAGTCTCTCAGGTTGGTCAGTCTGTTGAAGCTCACATTCAGTGAAAACAGTTTCGGGTAGAACCTTAGAATTTCGTCAAGCAAGTACTCGTCAATGTGGTTGTAGCTCAGCCCCAAATGTAGCAGCGAGTTGTTGACAGGACCCTTGACTGCCTGGATGTTGTTGAAGTTGAGATACAGCTCTTCAAGGTTCGGAGGAGTGTTCTCAAGCACTTCGATTTTGTTGTTGCTGAGGTCCAGGACTCTGAGTCGCCTAAACTCTCTGGAAACAATGTCAAGCTCCAGAATTTTCATGGATTTGAAACTCAGAGCTTCGAACATTTTGAGAATCTTGGGGTCGATCCGGGCTTCTTCGATCACGTTGTACTGGATGTAGTTTGTGACTCTGGCGAGGACTCCTTCGGACATGCTCAGAATTTCTGGGTCTTTGCGGCTGTCAATTTCATTTTCTTCATAAATATAGAGAACATCAAGTTGTTCACAGAATCTGTGCCAGAAAGCGCCACTGACAGTCCCTTGGATGACATCTGAAATATTTTAAGAATGATTACCTGTTCGGATGTTAGCCATTGATTTAAGAGTCTATATGCTCGTTATTATTATCAAAAGAATATCGTACACTTCTCCTAATGGTTGTCATCACTATAAAATTATTTCAAATTTATTATATTTAAAAGGGGTTTTGGGGTTTTGGGGTTTTGGGGTTTTGGGG